GCCTATTCATACCTATTCATGTCCAGTCACTGGTGATTTACGACGGAAAGAAGGGGATTACATGCTGCTCCTTTATGCTAGCAGCGTTTTGACCCCTTTGACAAGTAAGAAAAAGATTAATATGAAAGAGTTTACATTTATATCTGGGTTGTCAAAGCCCCGCCCACCAGAGGCTAAACCCAACCTCTTATCCCCTAATGGGGTCTGGGGGGGCGGAGCCTATCCCAGTAGCCAATGGGGAGAGCCGGGGTCCCCCTGGACGGTCCCCAGTCCATCACAGGGACACACAGAGACACACAAGGACCCACAACCGCACACACTCACACTAAGGGCAGTTTGGAGTCCAACAACCTAACATGCAGGTTTTTGGAGGGTGGGAGGAAGCCGGAGAACCCGGAGAGAACCCACAGACACAGGAGAACATGCAAACTCCACCCAGAAAGGTCCTGGTTCCCCCGGGACTCCAACCCAGAACCCTCCGGTCCCGGTTCCCCCGGGACTCCAACCCGGAACCCTCTGGTTCCTGGTTCCTGGTTCCCCCGGGACTCCAGCCCAGAACCCTCTGGTCCCGGTTCCCCCGGGACTCCAACCCAGAACCCTCTGGTCCTGGTTCCCCCGGGACTCCAACCCAGAACCCTCTGGTCCTGGTTAGCCCAGTGGAGAAGGGTTAAGCTCCTCGAATAACCTGTTGTGGTACCACTCCAGAACCACCACTCACTAACTAATTTAGATTCTGAAACTTTGGGTGAAATGATAATTAAGCTAAGATAAAATATGAATTATGTTTGGAGGATCAAACGCACATTATGAACGTGGCGTTGAGTAAAGATCACACAAGGTGAGGAGAACAAAGGATAAAAAGCCTTTACAGAGGTGGGTATTGCATCATTTAGAGATCTCAGACAATCCAACTAAGGGGGCAGGTTTCCTACCGGTTCATAGCACCTCAAACAGCCTAGGGATAGGGTCACCCTAGGTTAGCGTTAGCCTCTTAAGACCCAGCAAGTACCGTCATCAACTAACTTCAAGTTCTAGTCGGCCATTTGTCTGTGTTCCTTCCCAAAAGGGGTCTAAAGATGAGTACAAAACTGGAGAACAAACTGGAGTTGCTGCTTAGAGACCCTTAGAGAACCCTAAACCAAATACCAATGGTTCCATTACCCTGATGCTAACGGTTTGGGAGAAGTTTCATGGCTCTTTCAAAGGTGTTTCCTGTT